TCCAAAAGGCCTCCGCTATCATCTACAACTCTTTATGCAACTTTATTTTCATTATGGCCTTTATGATATAGTGCTATTAAATATGTTCTCTTCTCATCTTTTCATGTGTTTGTTACCTGTACCCTCAACCATCAGAATGTCGCTCTAATGAGGGCAGCTTTGTGTCTGTTTTGCTTACTGATGAATAAGTACACTGAACAGTGCCTGCACATCTTAACCACTCTCTAAGCTTTTAATTCATGTGTAGTGAATTAAGGCGCAGACATTTCCTAAGTTCTCACTATCTGCCTGCCCCCTTGCTGGGTTATCTCAGTTTGACACTCACAGAAAACCTTTCCAGGTAAGTAGTAGTATTCTCCATTTTTGACTTAAAGAAGACACAACCCCAATTTCCCAAAAGTCTCTAGTGAAAAAAGACAAGGAAGCAGCAGTAAGGATATGAATCACTACAGGGGACTCTGAGGGTTAATCCCACCTTGGGAAATCAGGAGAGACTTCTTAGAAGAAGTGGCATCTTGGTGAAGCCCTGAGGGACCAGTATTTATTGTTCATGGGCCATTCCAAGTTGGGAAGGCAGTTATGTGCTGAGTTCCAGATGAAAGACAGGACTGGAAATTGCAGGTGAAATGCAGAGTGGGGCGGGGGGCAGAGAGAGGAAGCTGCAAGAAGTGAGGCTTGAGACTTGGCAGGGAAGAGATTTAACCTTGGAGGGCCCTCATCGCCAGACCATGGGGTTTGAATATGCAGGGAGCCGGGAAGGGCTCCAAGCACCTGATGGTGGCGTTGCATGTGAAATGCATGTTGGCCGTGAAGGTGCTGCTGCACTGGTCTTAGCAGGGAGCAGTGGCTGACCACACGGGTGCACTCAATGGAAGGGAGAAATGTGGGTGGGCATGAGCATTACTGGGCAAAATCAGTGGGCCCTGGGGGCAGGGGCATTGGAGGGAGCAGGTACGCCAGGTTTCCTAAAATGTTGTTAGAAATGGATGTTTGAAAAAAGGAAAGAATAGGTGATAGCCATTATCAGGACACGCAGCCACCCCACCTCAAACTCTATTTTGCAGATGTTCTTACTCAGCTCCGAGGCGCTGGTGGGGGCGGGGAGACAATGTGAAAATGCCGCCCTACCCCCTTCTTCCCCTGGGGGGCCCCAGTCAGTGCCCCATCTGCTGCTGTGGCCCTGGGAATGTTCCACTCATTCATTGTGGTCTTGAACTTGGAAAGGCGTCTGCTCCATCCTTCAGGCACCTGGCTCTCCGGTGGCCATAGGAGTGGACTAAAAGATGCGTTCTTAGCCTTCTCAGGCACCAACACACCTGACTGGGTGCGGCCCGAGCGCTGCTTCAGGGGACATTTCCACGGCAGGTGAATTCCTGGCGCACCTGTTCATACCACACAGGCAGGTACCGCCCACTCCCGGCATAGGAGCAAGCTGCTGTCCGCATGGTCTGGAATTGCCCAGGACGGTGGCCATCCTTAACCTGTTCTGTCCCTCCTGGCCCCATGGCCACCTGGCTTCATCCAAGTGACTCTACGTTTCCAGTTCCCATCCATCATTAAGCAGGTACAGGACCGGAGTCTAAGAGTGTAAGACCCACCCAGGCAGGTGCACACCCAGCCTGTCCTGCACTGTGACAGGCCTCAGGCAGGCCTGCCAGGTAACCCACAGTGCAGCCTCCACGTGGCCATCCTGGCAGGCTGGGACCAGGCTGTGCCCGGAAGGTGCCTGCAGGGACTCTGTAGGACAGCACAGGGCATCTCTGGAAACCTACCTGGAAACTACAAAGGAGGTGACGGGTCGCCACTTCCTTTTCTCAGCCACATCAAGTAATTGTGCTGGGTTTTAGCAGGTGGGGCTGTGGCCCTAACAGGTGAGGTGAGCCTCACTTCCGGACTCCCCACAACCTGGCCTCTCTCACCTGTCTTAGTGAGTGCTGTCAGGAGACTTGGGGGACGGAGAAGCCACTTCCATCCCACACCCCAGCCGCACCCATGAAGGTGGCTGAGGGTGCAGCCTCATGTTCCTCACTCAAGGTCACAGCAGAAAGGTGGCAGCAGGTGGGCAGAAAGGCTCCTTCGCCGGCCTCCGACTAAGGGCCACCTCAGCACCCCTGCCCCATGGGCTCTGCTGCCATTGGGCCCCCAGCCAGTGTGTGGGACCAGGGTCACCCTCTTCTGTCCCCACCTCTGTTTCAAAAGTAGCCAGCTGCCTAAACTTCTCTGTAAACATTTCTGAAGTTTTAAGGAAATAGCTAAATTTTTAGAAATTTAATTAAAAAACACGGGGGGCCTCCCTGGTGGTGGAAGGGGTTAAATCTCAACACTATGAAGCTGACCACAGCCCCTGCAGCCTCAGTTCGATCCCGGGCCAGGGAGCTGACCGCCACGGCGCAGCAGACCTCTCCTGTCTTGCCACTGCTCCCTCATCAGTCTGCCTGTTCTGCTGCCCACTGTCCCTGGCAAATCCTCTGCACTGCCCCTGCACCTCTGGTTTGTACCTCAATTCTTATATGCATAAATAGATAGGTTTTTTAAAAAAGAAAGAATGAAAGCAAGAACAAACACCTCACATGTGGCCAAACGCTCTCTGGACCAAACCACAAGCTTTTGTGGGTTGTGGTCAGGGACCACGTGCTGGCCTCAGCCTCCACCTCTGCTCTCCAGCCCCCGGACACTGGAACTCATGTTTAACTGCCCCAGGTGAGAGTCTTTTATCTTCAAAATGTTACTTCCTGTGTCCTTTAAGAGGTAAAACTCCCCAGCTAAGTAATTCCCTGGGGCTTCCCCAGTCACCCACCCTAGTTCCTGACCAGACCCCTCCCCAAGGAAGATAAACAGTCGGCAACTAAGCATAAAAAGTCTCCACATCACATGTCTGCAAGGCAGTGCAAATGAACGACATGAGAACCCAGCCACTCACCGGTGAGGAAGGCCCATGGAGGACACTGACATCACCCGATGCTGGGGAAGATGTGGAGCAACAGGAATGTTCATCCACTGCTGCTGGGAATGCAAAATGGGGCCGCCCCTTGGAAGGGACTTTGCAGTTTCTGACAATATTAAACATACTCTTACCTTATGATGTAGCCATTGTGTTCCCTGGTATTTTCAACCCAAAGGAGTTGAAAATTGATGTCCACGAAAAACCTGCAAGTATGTTCATGGTGGCTTTTTTCATAATTGCCAAAGCCTGGAAGCAAACAAGATGTGCTTATATAAGTGAACCAACAGACACACTGTAGCCCTTGCACGCATGGAATATTACTCAGTCATGAAAAAGGAAACAATCAAGCCATAAGTGGTATGGAGGAAACCTAATTGCCAAGTGAAAGAAGCCAGCCCAAAAGGCCATGGACTGTGTGATCCAACCATGTGACATTCTGTGAAAGGCAAAACTATGCAGACACTCACAAGTTCAGTGGTTACTGTGGTGGGGGTTGGGAGGGTGGGGGTAGGTGAACACAGAGGATTGTTAGGGCAGTGAAAATGCTCCATGTTATATTGGATGCATTGCTATGCATGTGTTCAAACCCATGCAATGGATAAAACCAAGAGTGAACCCTAAATAAACTGTAGCCTTTGGGTGATTAGGATCCTTCCTGGGGAGATTATAAGCCAGTAACTGAGTGAGTATTGTGTGCTCCGAACATCTCAGATCAGGACAATGTGACAGAGATGGATGCCGAGAATCGGCAGGGATCTGCTTAGGTAAGATGACCAGGGAAGCTCCCTGTGAAGAGGCTACCACAGCTGGACCTGGGTGAAGAGCAGAGGCCAGACAAGCAACGATGGAGGAGGAGCGATTCTGGCAGAGGAAACAGCAAGGATGAAGGTCCTGGGGCAGGAAGGAGGGCGTGAGGGGTGCAGAGTGGAGATCGGCGTGACTGGCCGCAGTAGTCTGGGCTGCAGAGACGTTGGTTGGTAGGGGGTGGGTGTCGCTGGGCTCTGGGGTCAGGGTGAGGACAGGCTCTTACCCCAGGCTTGTGGGGCTCTGGGGTTGGACTGAGATTTAGCCCCAGGCCTGGTCCCTCTCAATCTCAGCTCCGCTGGGCTCCCTGGCGCCACAGGCTAGTGAAAGCACCCTGCTTCCTTCCTCACAGAAATTGCACAATCTGAATTTCATCCTGGGAGAGGGAGAATGTTTTATCCATGTTCAGTTCAGTCCATGAAACAGTCACCCACCCCCACCCGTCCCTGGGCCTCAATCTCTGCACCTGCAGAGGGTAGGTGGGAGCAAACTACACCTGTGGCCAGTTGGGGTCCCTCCCTTTGGCTTGGGATTGTGACTGGAAAAAAAGCAGGGAGGGATTTGGGGAGAAATGAAAGTGAAAGATGGAACATACCCCTCCAGGCTGCCAGGAGGCCGGCAGGGGTGGGGGCGGGGCAGCAGCCGAGGCCAAGGGGGATGGTTAGAGAGCTGGGGGCAGGCACTGTGGCCCGGGCTTTCCCCACGGCACCATGTGACGCAGCTGGAGCACTACCGGACAGTGAAAGGGGAAGTGGGGGGGAGCACAGAGTCTCTCAAGAAGCAGAGTCTGGACAGAGGCTGAGCCCAGAGGGAGAGCCAGAGGCTAAGGAGGGGAGGCTGGGGGTGGGGTCAGGGGGGACTGGAGGCACCAGCAGGGCTGGGTGGGGGCCAGAGGGGGCCCTGTGAGAAAACCCACTAGCCTGGGCAAGCCTGGGCACGTGGACCAGGAGCTCAAGGGGAGGTGACAAGCCTTAAGGGAGGGAGACCGGCAGAAAGGAGGGGGTTTAGGGGAGTGGGGGGAGGGGAGGGGGAGGAGAGCAAGCTGTGGAGAGAGGGTCGAGGAGAGCATGGGGGAGTAGGAAAGGGGGGGTGGACTCAGGGGCGCGGCAGAGGGACAGACCCCAGGGAGAGGGAAATCCAGGGTGAGGAGGGGTGAGAACGGTTGGCCAGTTTGGGGGGGAAGGGAGAAGAGAGGGGCCCCGGGGTCGGGAAGGGTCGGCGGTGAGGGCGGAGAGAGCAGCCGGCTCCCAGGATGCCCAGGCCACGCGCCCCGGAGGACTCGCTCAGGCCCGGGGAGCGCCAGCCGCTGCTGCCGCGCGGTCCTCGGGGCTCCCGCCACAGGTGGCGGCGGACGGCGGTGGCCGCGGTGCTGCTGGTGGAGATGATGGAGCGCGCTGCCTTCTTCGGCGTCGCCGCCAATCTCGTGCTCTACCTCAACAGCGCCAAGTTCAACTGGGCCGGCGAGCAGGCGTCGCGCACCGCCCTGCTCTTCCTGGGCGCGTCCTACCTGCTGGCGCCGGTGGGCGGGTGGCTGGCCGACGTATACCTGGGCCGCCACCGCGCCATCATGCTCAGCCTGCTGCTCTACCTGGCCGCCACCAGCCTGCTGGCCGCCACCGCCAGTGACGACGGCCGCCGCTCCTTCTGCGGGGACATGCCCGCGTCGTCGCTGTCGCCCGCCTGCTCCAAGCCCGGCTGCCAGCTCGACTCGCCCAGCCCCTACTGCGCCCCCACCCTCTACCTGGCCCTGCTGCTGCTCGCCCTGGCCACCAGCTCCATCAGAAGCAACCTCACCTCTTTCGGTGCAGACCAGGTGAGTGGCCCTGAGCGTCACAGCCGGGCTGAGACCACTGCCTCAAAAGTCTGCCCCAGCGTGACCTCGGGCAAACCACTTCCCCTTCCTCCAGTTTCCTTGTTTGAAAGAAGAGGGGGTGCAGCTTCCCACAACAGTAACTAGGGCCGCACTCTCTGACCACGGCTGGCCTTCCCTCACAAGACCGGGACCCACAAGGAAGGCTTCCCGAGGTTTCCACTCCTTTATCCAGCCACTCTGGAGTATGATGTCCATTTTACAGATGGGAACACTGGGCTTTCTGGGCTACCGTGTCCAAGTTCACACATGGCTGGACTTCATGTCCCCATGAACACGGTTTGCCTCTGGGGTGTTCTGGGCTTTGCCCCCCCCCCCCCCCCACCTCTCACCCCACCCGCCCCAGAACCAAGCTTCTTCCTACCAGGTGAGAGGTTGTTCGTGGACTTGCGCTCACTCACCTGCCCGTGGCAGACAGATGACCTCTGGGCCTTTGTCTGCTACCTTGGACAGAGCATGGCTCACAGGAGAAACTCCGTCTGCTGTACGGATGAGGAAATGCTCCCCAGTGGGGCTTTCTTCAGGAAAGTCTGCTCAGGGGAGTGTTAGATAGTAATTTTAAATAATCTGTGCTATGATGCTTTGAACTGCAAATGGCGCTCAGGAGCAAAAACTACGCAGAGCTGCAGAGAGCAGCTCTCTGCCACGTGAAAGGGATTCCACTAATGGGCGGGGCTGGGAGGAGAAACCAGCGTGTGTGATCAGGCCGCTGGCTGAATTACTTACTTTCCCCCAATCATCTCCATTTTCCAAATGCTTTTAGTTGCATGATCTATAATCATAAAGGAGACTTTTTTTTTTTAAAAAAAAGAATCACTACATTGGGGGCCTCCCTGGTGGTGCAGGTGTCAAAGTCTCAGCACTACCAAGCTATCACCAGCCACTGTGGCCTGAGTTCGATCCCTGGCCAGGGAGCTGACCTCTCCTGTCTTGCCCCCTGCTCCCCTCAGCAGTGTGTTTCAGTGGATCCATCTGTTCTGCTCCCCACTCTGTCTCTGGCGAGTCCTCTCACCCCCAGCACCTCTGACCCCAGCTCTTGTATGCACAAATAAATTTAAAATAATCCTAAAAATTAAAAAAAAAAAAAAGGTCACTGCATCCAGCTGGTATCTGCCATTCAGCACCCAGCAGTTTCTGATGCCCTGGCCAAGCCGTTACTCACCCAGGAGGTTTGGGTTCCTCTGAGGATGTGGGGCTGAGTGCCCCCAGGCCACCCGGCTTGTTTCCAGCCCTCCCAACTAGGAGACCCTCAGCATCTCCAAACAGGAGTCTTCATTTCCCCTAATTCTATTCTTGCTGATGTCCCGCACACCCTGGCGCCCTTGACCTCTGTGGCCTCCAGAAAGCCTGTCATCCGGTGCCTCCCGGGTCTTCCTCCTATGGTGGCAGAACTGGACATGTCCCCGGCCCCCACACCAAACAGGACCCTTCAGAATCTCCCAAGGAAAGCAGTTTTAGCTTCTGCAGTACAGATTATATAATTTTACATCTGGAGAAAGAACACAGTCCTGACTCCCCCACACCCACCAGTGCAGCTACAAAAAGTGAACCTTGATGAGAACCTTGATGAAATTTTGTGCCGCGTGGAAATATGTATCTGTTGGTGGAAGGACAGTGACAGAGTCTGAGATGTGGGGGTCATTTAAGGGGTCATGGGTTAGCTATGCCCACAATCATTTATCTAGAGAAGCAACCACCAGACCACCTGGCTTTTAAAAAATGCAGATGCCTTGGCCGTGCCCCAGACCTGCTGGGTCCGAATGTGGGGTCAGAGTTGGGGCCGGGGCAGGCAGTGCTGCTGACCTCAAGGGAGTCCAGAGAGGCCTGGGGTCTGCGGGCTGCAGATTGATCCAAGTCTGCAGTGATTTCCCACCCTTCTGCCCTCGCTAGTGGGCCTGCTTCTTTCCCACCAGGCCAGAACCAGCTCTTGGGGCTGTGTCCTGCACCACCTCTGCTTTTCCTGACCATGACATTGCTTGACGACCCATATATCAGCGATCAGAGTGATGCAGGCACTGGAGGAGTGGGAAGAGGGGAGAATAAGCCACAATGACTAGAAAAGTTTGCACCTCCAAACTGCAGGGAACAGTCTCAGCTTCATGCCAGGGTTCTTGCCGCAATGTACACTCATCTTGCGTAATAATGTGCAGCGGACTTGAGATCTTTATGCGCTTTGTCTCTGATCAGGAAAGTTCCCATAGGTGGCTCAGAAAACAGGCAAAGGGCTAAATCAACTAGAAATGCATAAGGTGGCATCGGAGACATCTGTCGTGTGCATGACACCCTGGCAGTAAACATGCAGCATGTGCCGTGGGCTGTGCCAAAATGTCCTGGCCATGAGTGACTCCCAGGAGAAGAGTCCATTCACTCGGAAACTATTTATCGAGTGTCTATTTAGTGACAGGGCTAGGAACGTGCCAGAATGCCCACCCATCGACTCAAGAAGTGTCTCTGCGGGAGTGGGGGTGCAGGTACAGAGGACACGCCCCGCCTCCTGGCCCTGGACCTCCGTGACCCACGCCCACCCCGCCCGGCAGGTGCTGGAGCTTGGCCGCCACGCCACCCGCCGCTTCTTCAACTGGTTTTACTGGAGCATCAACGCGGGGGCCGTTCTGTCGCTGCTGGTGGTGGCCTTCATCCAGCAGAACATCGACTTCCTGCTGGGCTACTGCATCCTCGTGGGCTGTGTGGCCTTGGCCTTCTTCCTCCTCCTGTTTGCCAGCCCCATCTTCATCACCAAGCCCCCCACGGGCAGCCAAGTGTCCTCAATGCTGAAGCTTGCTGTCCAGAACTGCTGTCCCTGGCTGTGGTGCCGACACTTTGCCAGGTAAGGGGGGGGCTCTGGGCGGAGGGGCCACAGGACCTGGAGAAGCACTGTGCTTCTGGGGTGGCACGGCCCAGGGGGACGGGGTTCTGGCTCAGCTCCCGCGGTGGCCCTTTGGGGTGGCCGCTCTCCAGGGGGCCAGAGCAGCCCACTGCGCCTGCGGGTGGCGCTGTGTCAAGGAGGTGGTTGGCAGTGGATGCGGTCGACATTTGGGTTCTGCGGGAGACACAAGGTGGGTAAAATCAGGCTAAAGGAGTCAGCACCCCATCGGGGCAGGGTCTGTGCTGCACCCCAGAAACAGGTGGAGGCGCTACTTAGGCACTTTCAACCCAGCATCATTAAAGGGCTGGGTCCTTTCTCTGCTCTTCTTTCTTTTTCTTTTTTAAATATTTATTTGTGCATACAGAACTGGGGTACAGGACAGAGGCTCAGGGGTGGCGAAAGGCTTCACCAGAGACAGAGTGGGGAGCAGAACAGGCAGATCGACGAAGTACACTGCTGAGGGGAGCAGCGGGTGGGTCAGGAGAGGTCTGCCGCGCCATGTGGTCACCTCCGGGGTGGGGATCGAACTCATGCTGAGGTGGCTGTAGCTTTGTGCTGTGCTTTAACCTGCTGCACTACCAGGGAGGGCCTTCTTCTTTCCTTTTAAAAGATTTGTTTATTTATGCATACAGAATTGGGGTGCATGAGCGGAGATAGGATTCACCAGAGACAGAATGTGGAGTAAATCAGGCAGATCGAGGAGGTACACTGATGATGGGAGAGGAAGAGAAGTCTGCCATGCCGTGTGGGCACCTCCCTGGCCAGGGATCGAGCTCGAGGTGGCTGTGGCTAGCTCGGTAGTGCTGCGCTTTAACCCCCTGCGCCACCAGGGAGGGCCCCTGCTCTTCTTTCCACAGGGTCCTTCCATCTCAGACTCGCCATCTCCTCGTGCCTGCGAGCTCTGCTTGAGGGGTCCTAACTAGCCTAAAGCGCTTATTAATGGCGACAACTTTATTTCCCCTGAAGTACGTATTCGCGTAGACCGGGACAGTCACTCTCAGAGTGGGGTAGGTGACCTGGCCCTGCATCTCCAGGGAGAAAACGCTACTTTCTAATGGCTTGGTCAGCCTCAGGCTGAGTTCATGTCAATGTCATGGGGCTTCCTGAGACTCACTGGACCCTGGCTTCTGCCTTGTGTGGACTGACCAGAGGACAGTGTAAGAATAAGGTAGTCAGTGGTGTGGACTGACCAGAGGACAGTGTAAGAATAAGGTAGTCAGTGGCCTTGACAGTGAAGGGCGTGATAAAACGGGGGTGACAAAGGTGTGCTACCTAGGTGGCTGCGGCAGTAAAAGAGTCTGGATCAGAGGGCTGGTGCCGGTGATGCTGGTGCCGGTGATGCGG